GATATTGAAAATATAGGATGATGAGTATACTAAATTGGGTGTTGATTACACAGACTCTTACCCTCGATTTTCTTCGTGCAAGTAGTATAGGTAAAGAAGATATGGGCCTGTACTTGATAGGTCGAAGTAGGAATCCCTCAAGATTTTCAAGTACCTCCTCGACAAGACGGGAGCAGAAAATCGCGGTGAAGTGGTAACAGTCGGGCTAATGGCTCGGAGACGATATTTTGTTAAACAAGGAAACCTTTTATCCCTCAAACCACCCCCCGCCCCCACCCATCTCTCACATCTTACGAGAACATTCTCGAGAGACCAGGGACGTCGTTAGATTTTCAAACGTAACCCGATTTTTACATCATCGAGATCTATACAATCCTCGTATTGTTTTTATTTCAATTTCAATTCTACTATTACAAAAACATTCCGGTTCAGTTTTGGATTTGATTGTGTTTTTTGTTTTATATACTTAACACGAATTTTTTTTGTTCAATTCCGTTACGCGTATTACAAATATTGAACGAACAAATGAACAAAAAAAAAAACAAGGAAAAGAAAAAGAAACGAAATAGATGGACACATATATTTAGTGAGAAGAACCAAAACCCCCAATAGGATTTTAAGATGGGATAAAGAAAGGAATCCTGTTATAAAGGCGAACGGCGACGGCGGCCCTGCATTGTCACTTTGGTTTTCTTGTCATCAAGAAAGAACGAGCTTGAAAGTGTGAACCACCGACCGCCACGACAAGATGTCACCTGTCGTTTCTCACGATTCGCGCCCACGCATATCTCGCTTCCGTTTTCCTCGCACATTCTTCCTTCGATCCCCTTTATCTTCCGAATCTTTCCATACTCTTATTCTTATTCTTCATGCTTTAACTTTATTCTCGATATATTATATTATATATGTATATAATTCTTCATAGGATTTCATTTATCATGCTCGACTTTTTGTTCCAATCAACAAAAATCTATTATATTATCCCAATTAAAAAACAAAGAAATTAATTATTACGTAATGATAACACAGATTTTTCTTTCTTTTTAACGAATTAAAATTAGATTTTGATCCAACGTTATTTGGTTATTAATTGTATGAAGATAAAAAAATGATTAAAGGAAAAAAAAAAAAAACGAACTTTGGTTCCGGCCGGGATCGAACTGGCGACCTTCTGCGTGTAAAGCAGACGTGATAACCGCTACACCACGGAACCGTTGTTAATATTCATGCAAATTTAATCTTCATTTCCGGATATTTTTATTATATATAATATTGAAAAGTATTTTTTGTTAATCAAATATATAATTACTATCAATTTTTCTACGATATATTTCTAATAATAAAATTGACGAAAAGAAACAAATATCAATAAGTAAAAAAAATTGTATCATCATATCATTTTTAATCGCGTTGTTTCAACTTTGATCAACGTAGTTTATAATAAGAGGAAATCAAAAGTTACTAATAATAATTAATTGATCAAAATGTTTTCAATAAAAATATATATTTAAAGTCAGACTTATATATTATATCTGTAAGTATAATTAAAATATTATTTGTCAGTATTATTTAAACAAAAATCATCGTATAATAAATGCATAGTACTTAACGTTAAAAAAAAAAAATGTGTCCACGTGTCGTAAGTTTGCAAAATGGAGTCATTTGTCTAATAGGAGTGATAAATAATTAATAAAATATCGAAAACCCTTCATAGATGAGACGTATACATGAATTATATATATATAAAACATTCCTATTATATTATAATTATGTTAATACTAAATCCCAGATCCGTTGGTAATGTTATTTCAAACAAAGTGGACCAACGTTAAAACCAAAAGCCTGATGAGGTAAACCATAATCGAAAGGATGAAAATCTATAATCGGTAATTTATCGAGTTTATCCGCTTTAACATTAAATACCGTTTCACTTTTACTCTTACGGGATTTACAACCATCAACGAGAACAATTGGTTTGTTATTATTATAAGAAAATTCAACGTCGTTTATACCTAACAAACGTATCGACGAATCATAACTATTGTTAGGTGCATTATACCAACCTATACTGTTCATACAGGTGTATGTAAAATTTTGATAACCCTCCTGACTGAGCAAACGTAAAAAATTTAATTGAATATCACCAATGGTCTCGTAAGTGATCTAGAAATGACATAAATTATTGTTATTTTTTTGTTATTGTTTGTCTTCATAAATATTGAAAACTCACTCGAAATCCACCACGCAAATTGGAATACCAATTGCCTTTGTCATCATCCTTTCTCCATGGTATATTTGGCATTTGACTACTGTGAGTATCCGGGAATACACAAGTTTCCCCCATATTTGTCATATTGCAATAAACATAAACGGCATCGTCAGGCATACCTAAATTAGGATCAATCCAGTACCAACCTGTAATTATGAGATTTATTTATTGATTAATTATTACGAATATATTTTTCTAAAGAAAGATAGAAAACGAAAAATAAATCTGTAATACACTTGCCATCATTGAAATGTGGATGACCGTAAAATAGATCTTTACAAGTTCTAACAGGATTTTCTCTAGTACCAGTTGGTTTTCTTATTCGATCCAATTCTTGTCGCATACTGTAAATAGAACTATAAACGTCTAAAAATTTCGATCCTAATTCGTTGCCATCGTCCTTTTCTATTTCCTCTTTGTTTAAATCATTCTCCTTCTTTTCGTTATCATCTTTTCTGAAATTATTTTGACAACGTAAAACAAAAAAAGAAGAAAAAAAAGAAACAATAAAAATTGCGTATATTATTTTGTTTAATTTTAATCTTTTAATAATTAATAATCCTTACGTATCTTCCAAAATTTCACGTTTCCTTTTATACAAGTGCGACTGAGTGAATAATAATTCAGGTGGAATCATTGGTTGTTCCGCTGGAGGACCAGGTGGACCAGGTGGACCTGGTGGTCCTATATCACCTTTTGATCCATCGTTACCAGTGTGACCTTTGGGTCCTGGTGGCCCTTCCAAACCAGGTAAACCCGGTGGTCCATCGTTGCCTTTCAAACCAATTAAACCGATTGGCCCTGTATTTCCTTTAGGACCTTCTGGTCCGGTACTACCACGTATTCCTTTTTCACCCTTTTCTCCCTGATCACCTTTCATTCCAATCGGACCAATATCACCACGATGTCCTTTAATACCTCTCCGACCTCTATCACCTTTAGGACCTCTTGGTCCTTCAGGACCAACTTTCCCAGGTAACCCAACAGCTCCTGGAATTCCTGGTTGTCCAATTTCTCCCGCTGAACCTGCCAATCCTCTTACACCGGGTAAACCTGGAGGACCTGGCTGGCCTTCTGCACCTGGTCGACCTTGAGATCCCGGTATACCCGGTGGTCCAACTTCACCTTTATCTCCTGGCAAACCTGTATTACCTTGTATTCCTGCTGGCCCTTCTGGACCCTATATCGAAATGTGTATCATATATTTTATTAACTAACCATGCTCTGCTCATCGAATAAGAAATTATCTTTTTTTTTTGTTTTTTAATAGAACTAACCGGTCTTCCTTGTGTACCGGTTAAACCTTCTTTTCCAGTTGGCCCAATTTCGCCTGGAGGTCCAGGTTCTCCCGGTCCACCATCGTCCCCGTCTTTACCGGGTTCTCCTTTAGGACCTAATAACCCTGGCTCACCTGGAGGCCCAGGAAAACCAGGAGAACCAACGTTTCCTTTCGGTCCCTCTGGACCAACCGGGCCACGATTTCCAGGAGGACCAGGTGGACCTGCTTTACCTTCTTCTCCTTTTTGTCCCGGAAGGCCTTGTTCTCCCTAAATTATTTATACCAAATAATTATTCCCCGAAATGATTACTATTAAATAGAAAATAAATTGTCTTTTTTTTTTTAACCCAATTAATGAAATAATATTTACCGTATTTCCATCAGCACCAGCTACTCCTGGAAGTCCAGGTAAACCGCTATCTCCTTTCTCTCCTTGACGACCTTCGAGACCTTGCAAACCTTGTAAACCGTCTGCACCTCTCGGCCCTTTGTCACCTGGCTCTCCTGGACTACCTGCTGGACCAGCAAGTCCTATTTGACCCGTATCTCCAATCTCTCCTTTTGATCCTGGTGGGCCAGGAAGACCTTGTGGTCCTACAGGTCCCGCAGGACCAGGTACACCAATTGGACCATCTTCACCTTTCATTCCTTGTCTACCTATTTCACCAGGTGGTCCTTTTTCACCTGTTACTCCTACTAAACCTGGCTCTCCCCGTGGTCCTTGAAGTCCCGGTGGCCCTACTGGCCCCTAATTGATTTATATACATTTTTTGTACATCTCTTCAAATTAAAACATTTAATATTCTTAGTATATATATATATATACTTACAGTTGAACCTTGAGAACCTTTAAAACCTTTTTCACCGGGTGGCCCAATATCTCCTTTATCACCATCTTCTCCTGGAACACCGACTGGACCAGGAGGACCTGGTAATCCTCGTTGTCCTGGTAAACCATCTCTACCAATCGGCCCTGGTAAACCAGCTTCACCCTAAATAAAAATAAATATATATCTTTTATTCCGAATCAAATAGAATATACTTCTTATTATAATCATTTTATACCCTTTCGCCTTTCAAGCCAGGAGGACCAAGCGGTCCTTTCGGGCCTTGTCTACCTTCCGGACCTATAGCTCCATCTTTTCCAGATTCTCCTTGAGCACCTTTGTCTCCTGATGGTCCCGGGAAACCAATAGGTCCCATTTCTCCTTTCAACCCAGGTGTACCCTACAAATTAGCAGCATAAAGATTAATCATATATTTTACAAATGAAATAAATTTAATTACATAAACAAACCAACCGGCAATCCAGCCAATCCTCTTTCACCAGGAAATCCGGGCAATCCTGTAGGACCAGGTGGCCCTTCTTTTCCAGGTAATCCTTGAGGACCAGGTGGACCTTCTTTACCTTGCTCACCTGATGTACCAATTTCTCCTGGTACACCAGGACTACCAGGAATACCAGGCTCACCTGGCTGACCAGGTTCTCCAGGTGAACCTTGTGGACCAATCACACCAGGCGATCCAACTGGTCCTGGAGGGCCAGATTCACCAATTGGCCCACGTTCTCCTGGAAGCCCGGGAATACCATCCTTTCCATCAAGTCCGAGTTGTCCCGGTGATCCTACAAATCCACGTGGACCTTCTATTCCTGGTGATCCAGGTTCTCCCGGTAATCCTGGAGGTCCTGGTTGACCAGTATCACCTTTTGGACCTGGTAATCCTTCGGAACCTCTTCTACCACGAACACCTCTGAAACCCTTTCATTAGATATCATTAAAATTTGCAAATATTTATATTTTATCACCAAATTTTCTATTTAAACAAATCTATTTGAATTTATATATTATTACTTACTCTGGGACCTAACTCGCCACGATCACCTTGTAAACCATTATTTCCCTATACATAGAAAAAAAAAAAAGAAAGAATTATATAATTTATTATATTACAACTACTTTTATAATAAAATATAAAGAACAACTTTACCCTTTCCCCCTTTTCCCCGCTCAAGCCTTCTCTTCCAATCTGACCTTTATCACCCTTCTCACCAGGATTTCCCGGATATCCAGCGAAACCAGGTACACCTATTTTACCTTTTTCTCCAGGTAATCCAGTCGGACCCTGTTCACCACGAACTCCTTCAAATCCTTTTGGTCCTTCCGTACCTTCGACTCCGGGAGCTCCTTGTGGCCCTGGTTGTCCTCTTTCTCCTTTCATACCTGGATCTCCTTTTTCCCCTTCAATCCCTCTATCACCTTTTTCACCTCGATCACCTGGTAATCCCCGTTTACCATCGTCTCCTTTCGGACCACGTATGCCAGGAAATCCTATAGATCCTTGTGGACCCATTATGCCTTGTTCACCTTTCAAACCAGGAACTCCAGGATTACCTGGATTTCCTGGATGACCATCTGCTCCAGGAAGACCTGGTATACCAGGTTTTCCTTGTGGTCCCTTTTACAAACAACAAAAAACTTATGTTAATATAATATTAATTGATTAAAAACATTAATCCGACTTACAGCTAATCCAGTTGGTCCCAAAGGCCCCTGAGGACCAGGTGGACCAACAGGTCCCACTGGTCCAGGTGGACCAAGTGATCCAGGAGGACCCGATAATCCAGTATTTCCTTTCGCACCTGGAGAACCTTCGCTCCCGGGTATGCCAGGATTACCTGGCATTCCCGGGAAACCACGTGGCCCGATAAAACCTCTCGGTCCCTATGATCAAACATTTGTCTAACTATTCTTAACTTCTTACCCCCGCCCAATATACAAATAAATATTCGACAAAATTTCTTTACCAATTCGCCAGGTAATCCTGGCAGACCAGGTGGTCCATCGTCACCTTGCATTCCTTCATGACCAGGTAATCCTGGTTCACCAACAGCTCCTGGTGGTCCTCTCTCACCTTTATCTCCTGGCAAACCTGGTAATCCAGGTGGACCTTGTTCACCCTTTATACCAGGTGGTCCAGTAGGACCACGTTCTCCATCTCTTCCAGGTCTTCCTCTTCTACCTTCCCTACCAGTATTCCCAGGTATTCCTCTCTCTCCTCTAGGTCCAGGCTCACCTACGTCACCTGGTTCTCCCTTCTGTCCTTGAGGTCCCGGAGGCCCATCAGAACCAGGAATACCAGTCAATCCCATTGGACCCTCGCTACCTCTCATTGCTACCATGTATTGCGATAAAACTTGTTTCAATACTTCTGTTTGAGAATCAGGACCTTTTTCATTTCCTTGCTGACTTATTCCTATCGATGGTATCATAAATACGTGACCAGGTGGACCAGGTGCACCCTGTACACCTGACAATCCATCTTTCCCAGGTTCACCTTTTTTACCAGGTGGTCCAGCCATTCCTGGTGGACCCGGGTAACCCCTAGGTCCTGGTGATCCACGAAGATTGTAATATTTGTAATAAGAATCCTCGTTTGTATTCGAACTTGATGGTACATTGTAAGATACGATTGTCGGATAAATATTTTCTTCCGTTGTAAAAGTTTCCCTCGTGTAACTCTCTGTCGTAGATACCTCGTTTGTATCGTACGTTTGCTATATAAAATGAATTTATAAATTTGATATTTAATTAATTGAATAAAACGATGAAGAATAATTGAATCTTTACTGTAAGAGATTGTTCGTTGGTTTCCATAGTTGGTCTCAAAATAAACGTGTAATTCGTAGGAACGTATCGTAATGGGAATGCTTTTAAATCATCTTCGTTGTAATTATCTTTCTCGTTATCTTCCATATCATCAAAATCATCGTAATTGGTATGCCTATCGTAGACAGATATATTCAAAGATTTAGGTTCATCTTTTTCTTTGCAATCTGGTGCAAATATCGTACAAAGTTCGTACGCGGTATCCGGTGTTGGTGCAATCTTCAAAAGTTCCAATCCTCCCTGTGATGTACAAAATAATAAATTCTTCTCTCTCTCTTTTTCTTTTTTGTCTTTTCTATATTTTTTATTATTATATTATATTAATCGAGATATATTATAATATAATATATATATTAAAAAATAAATATATATCACCGACCAAATATATTTTCTCTTCCATAAGTTGTTGACCAATTATGACGATACCATTTACGTTAATGCTATCCGATAGATTTCTTTTCAATTCTTTCGTTATTTCTATTTTGCAATCTAACAAAAGTGTTATTGCATTTCCCTTAACGCTTATGCTCAAACGATGCCATTTACCATCGGAAATATCTGTACCGAAAGATATTGATTCTGCCATGTCTTCGTTAACGTTGTCAGAAGTATCGTAAAAAAATGTTACGTCTTTGCCGATTGATAAAATCATTTGTTCCTGACCACCATCGTCGTAAATTGAAAACAATGTTGCCATGGGATAATCTATATATATATATACAATTTGTTATTGAATACAAAATCTCATTAGATTCGTTTAAAAAATTAGACAATAATTTGTAAGATATATGAATATGATTATTTTTATTTGTTCATTTATATCATTTAATTTATCGTACTTACCAAGTTTGGTTTTGGCAACAACGATAATAGAAAAATTATTGATCAATCCGTTAGGAAAGACAGCATTGGTGTTGATAGTTAATAAAGAATATTCTGCGATATTATATGCAACAGTATCATTTCGATTACATCGATTATTTGTAACAGTTACACCACTGGGTTCTTGATACATCCCAGTACTTTCCATAAGATCTACGACACCATTTTCTACGATATCAAAAATAATTCAAATGAAAAATAAAAAGAAAAATCGACCGAGAGAGACAGAGAGAGACACGTATAACAAATGGACAATTAAATTGCATGGATGCATGGATGCATGCATGCATATACGTGCAACTCTAATAAGAAGCGTGTCTCTTTCGAAGAACGCAAAGTGTAACGATGAGATGAATAACTAGAAACCTAGTAACCCATGAACCCGTAAAACATAATTCACTTTATTGCAACAAACGAGTGAACTAATTCTGTCATTGACTGAAAGAGAAATCGCTATTTTTTTTTCTTTTCACGTGGAAGTAAAACATTGATCGGTAATTCAATCAAATGAAACGTCCAATAACTTCGAATAAAGATCCTTAATTGTTTCTTTATTATTATTATTATTATTATTATAGAAACGTATTAGGGTGTATCACAAGTTCGTATATTTTTTATTAATATTACCAAAATAAATTTAACAAAAATATATTAGTTATGCAATTTATATTAGACAATTTATAATACAATAAACGTATGAATTTTTGCATCACCCTAATAGAAAGAGATATAATAATGAAAAGAAAAAAAAGAAATTGAAGGAAAACAATTTGAAATAAAGAACGATATTAATAATAAAGAAATGATTTCATTAGTATTCATGCAAGAATAATCTTATCTTATATATTATCATTTATATATAAATATCTAAACAATATATAAATACCTATATCACGTAGATTAAAATCAGCCATCGTAATTCCAGGTAATGCGAATGGAAGAAAAACAAGGACGACGTAAGGGTGGATGATAGCACAAACAAATCGTAGGGTTCTCCATAATTGTTTGATGCGATCTAATTTATGCATGCTAAAACTTTTCTTTATGAAACCATGGCATTCCTTATCGAAACACTATTATACAAAAAAATTAATTATATAAACGCGCGTTTATATATATAAATTTTATTTTATTCAAATATGATCCTATTAAATGAAACTAGAAATGTTAAACTTTCTCTCTGGTTGATGGTACGAGACCCTCTCTTCTGGAAAGAAGAACGAGACAATATTTCTTTAGCTTAACCATCCCACCTCCTCTTTTTCTTCTTCGTCTTCTTCTTCTTCCTCTCCAATCATTTTTGTTCCCTCTCTAACTATCTGATCCCTTTGATCTCTCCTTCTCTCTCTCTCTCTCTCTTTCTTTTCTATTACTATTTCTTCTGAAGAAGAATATATACGTTCCGCGTGTACGCATTCCACACATGCGCTTTTAATGACAATTCCGCGTCTCTTTTATTAACACTGATTCGAATAACACGTGCTTCACGTATCGCGTTAAATATTAGACCTTTCTTATTATTATTATTATTATTATTTTTCTTTTTTTTTTTCTCTTGAAGAAATATATATCGGTAACATATATAAGATTTATGTTTAGTATATATATGGGTATTAATAAAAAGTAATTCTTTTTTTTAATAATATTTTTGATTTCTAGACAATTACCTGGAATCAAGTAATTTTCTCTTGATATAATAATAATAATAATAATAATATTAATTGTAATTTATATTTATCTTAGATAATAATTAGAATTAATAAAGATTTCATCAGAACGAATGCAATGAAGATGCATTCGCAGACGTTCAGAGATTAATTGCTTCCTTCCTGTTTTAAATACTACTAATACTTTATTATTATTATTATTATTATATTTTCTGCTATAGGTATATCATAATATCTTAATAAATCAAATTAGTTTATCGCATTGGCGTAACGTTGAATATATACAGAATTTATCAAAGTTTGAATTCTCTAAGAATTTGGTATCCATTAAAAAAGTGATAATTCACTTTTGGTAACTTACCAACAGAATTACCGACAGTAAAAAAATTATTAGTTAATAAGACGAACAATTATGGATTTTAAATGAGCAATTATTGAGCAATTACAAGCATTTATTCTTTTCTTTCTGCGGTAAAAATTTTTCGGTAAGATAAAAGTAGAGCACTACTATTACCAAAATCAACTTAGTCATGTTACTAGAATTTCAATATTTTGGAAACTATCTTATTTCCTAGTAACTTTTAATAACTAGTAATCTACACAAAGTGAATGTGTAATTAAATTCTATATACATTTAAAAGCAAACAACAATTAAAAATCTAATATAAATATTTGGTTTTAATTATTAATTAAAGGAGTTTACTCGTTTAGAACGATTGTCTTGGAACAGATACAGGAAAAAGATTTACTAGATTAAAAAAAAACTGAAATCATATTGGAGTTAGACAGACCGGAGAACAACGGACAAACAAAAAATAAGCAATTGATTTGTTACATTATTGATAAAGTTATTGATATATATAGAATTAGATGTCAAAAGATTTACAAATGTTTATAATTATATAAAATTTTATTTTTTATATATATAGTACTCTTAACATTCGTCGGTATAATAAATTGTAGCGTGTTCACTAATGCGCGGAAATAAATAATTCACTAAGGAAAAATATTATATGAATATTTATTTTTATAATGTATCAAAAAGGTCTCGTATAAAATATGTGATAAACTTAACAAAAATCTTAAAGAGGTAAGCGGAAGTAGTAGCTAATTTCACGTCTTTATTTCCTGCTTGTCGGTACGCGTGTTGGAACGGAAGTATCGTCTTTGTAACTATGGAAATATTARTGTTCTCCTAGAAGCGCTGTTAGCTGTGCTAGAGTGCTAGTGCTAAAGTAGTTTGCTAAAGAATGAGCAGTGAGGATGGCGGCGCTAGTTGTCGCATAGGATGAAGTGGAAATCTGCTTATCGACAGCAGGTCGCTACAAAATTGCATCAAATAGCACTATCTAGGGGAAGAATGTAGTACTTTTGACATTACTGATATTCCAGTGTGTCAAAATGCAGTTGAGTTGCAACCTTTAGATATTTAATTGTTTAAAAATTAGATATTATTGGATAATTGAGGAATAGTCGTTAATGCTTTTAATTGGTTAGATTTCTTTGTAATGTTCTTTCTATAAAATATATAATGTTCTGATAGAAATATCATGAGCAAACAAAATGTAAATAAAGAACATTCTAGATAACTTTATAGAGAAATAGTAATTTATATACTTAATTAATATGCGTAAAGCAAATAAATAATTTGTGTGAACAGATATATATTTGTGATTAGAGAGAAGGAAAATATATATAATAAGCAATAGCATCAATTTTGCTTATAAATAATAAAATGGAAATGAATCTAAACGTTGATTTAACAGAAAATAATATTTCTCGTAGAAAGAATGGTAAGTGAGAATGAAGAATAAAAATTAAATAGTGTCAAATATTATTTTAACAATTTTATGTTACACTAGTAACAATTAGTTAGAAAAATATTCTATGTATAATATATTTTTTTTATTATATTTCCTTTTGATATATTATCAGTTCACGAATGGACATGGGATGATAAATACATATCAGAAACGGCAGAACTATCAAAGTATAACTTAGAAGTTAGATTTCATCCAAAATTTAGTATTGGTACAGCTTATGTTAGAGGTAATATGTCCTTGCAAAAAGGAAGACATCACTATTGGGAAATTAAAATGATTACGCCAGTATATGGGACAGATGTAGTGAGTGTCATAATATTTAAATAAATTACAAATCAATTCCTATACGTGAAGATAAATTTGTTAATTACTACGTATATCAACTATATACTAAAAGTTATAAATTAATATCCATAGATGATCGGTGTAGGAACAAGTAAAGTTGATCTAACAGGTTTAAAAGAAACATTTTGTTCGTTACTTGGACGAGACGAAGAATCTTGGGGTTTTTCGTATAAAGGTTACATACAACATGCCGGTGAAAGCAGGGTTTATACTGGTCGTTTCCGTAAAGGAAGTTTAGTAGGTGTACATTTTGATAGTTGGAAAGGAACAATACAATATTTCTTAAATAGAAAACCTTTAGGTACATAAGCACTATTTTTAAATACTACTTTAGTTACAGTATTAAAACAATTAATTATAACACAGTGTAGATAATTAATCGTTCGAATTTTGTATTAAAAATTTGTCGTATTTTATAGGTATTGCATTTACCGGATTACAAAATACAACTCTTTATCCTATGGTTTGTTCAACAGCTGCTAATAGTAAAGTTAAAATAAAACTTTGTTCCTCAGTTCCTGTATCTTTACAAATGGAATGTTTATCTGTACTACAACCTGTACAGAAATTATATCTTTCTAACGCTTTTCCTGGATTAAGATATTTATTGACAAGTATCTTCGTTGATATCTTGCATAAGCAATATGGTTAATTAAAATTTTATTTAATATACATATAATGCATAAATATATACAGGATGTCTGAGGTTCTTCTGGCTGAGCTGTGTTAGTGTATTCTATGCAGACAAAAATCTCTGACAACCTGTATATTAACAGAGTGATAAGAAAAAAAGGTCAGATATATTTACAAATTATATTATTCAATAAAAGTAGTACAAAATGTTTAATTTTTTAAAATGAATATAATAATAAAAGTTAATTTACATTGTAAAATATTTAGTCCTTTTTTTTTTATCACCATGTAGATATAAATATATTAAATATTAGAAAACAGGAGTACTATTTTTGTAATTATTATTTTGTAGGTGATCATAACGATGATGACGATGAGGATAACGATAACGATAATACTAGTAGTGATGAACTTTTTGAATTTTTACCCGAATTTCAATGTTTAAGTCAATTGGTAAGAACCTAAAATAATATATATAATATAAAATAAAATTTAAATAAAAAAAGATTTATAAAACGATCAACTAGAATTATAAATGATTTTATATTATTTATAAATGATAGAATTCATAAAATCATTTGACATTTGTAAGCAAGCTTTAATTTTGATCTTCGTGCATTTCCATTTTTATTAAAAGATCATAAATATAATACTTAAAAATGATTTCGAAATTATAGACTACCAAACAAATGTATAGAAGTATATATAGCTTACAAATAAGTCTATTAAGTGTTCATATATATACATTTGATGAATTGTTAGAAACATGACAAGTCCATAATTGATGTATAAATTCTATAATACTGATCAATTGCTATCGGTATCTTTTATAATACAAGTATATTTATTTAACAACTTTAGAATTGCCAAACTATTAACTAGATATAAATTATGGACTTCTTATATAAAGCAAATTGCTTAAAAAAATTTATTATGCAATTCTATTTAATTGTAATAAAACTTTATTATATATATGTTATAGAAATAACTTATTGTACCTTTCGAATTTTCTTTTTAGTCTTTACTTCAGACTCCGTTTTACTTCGTTTTTTATTTAAAATATTCTTAGTGTTATCGCCAATTTTTGCACAAAATAATACAGCTTGCGCCCAACCAGCCAATGGACCCCACAATTCGCGTAAATATTTATTAATTTCTTCATTAATTTTAGGAGTTACAGTTTTTTGTTTTCCTAAATGGGGTAAATAATTATCTCTTGCAACTTGAAATATATGTGTATCTACTGGTATCGCTTCTAAGTATCCCAGAGACATTAAACAAACACAATCTGCAACTTTAGGGCCAACTCCAGGAAGTATCAATAATTGTTCTTTAGCTTCGAAATATGATAAAGTACTGTTACATTTACATAAACTTAAAAGCCATTTTTTTCCACCGAGTTCTTGCAACTTTTTAGCAGTATTTGCTATGTAAGCAGCGCGATATCCGAATCCTTCCTTTCTTAAAATAGATTCTACGTTATCTCCTTGTAATAATTCCAATGTTGGAAAATCAAAATAATCTTTCCCATCAATGGAACAAATTTTCTTACCGAATAGTATACATAATTTTTCCACCATGCCGGATATCCTAAAGTGGAACAAAACTTTCTCCGTAAAATAAAATGAAAATACATCCAACTCTTTTCTTTTTTCTTTTTTATATGAGTTATAAATCAGTACAAACATTGAATGCATTATAACAAAACAAACTAGTACAAGTAAAATGATTTTGAAATTGCATTAAAGTAAATAAACCAGTAAAAAAAAGTGTTGGGTGTATATAAAAATAATGAGAAAACAAAATGTTAACGTGCATATATGTTTATACCTTTGAATATTATTGTTAGAACTGCAAATGAAAGCAAAAAGGTTTTCCAATACATCTTGATTCAAGATCCTAACACCGTCTACTTTATCGGATGATTTCTGAAAATGTTTATCTACTTCAGTCCACTTTTTACAATGATCTAATAATGATATATCCAGTCTGAAGTACCGTCTCAATATTTCATCATAATTATGATCATCCGATAATGAACCATGAACCGTATAACTTATACAGGTATCATTCTGAGTTAATGACCATACAGAACTGTTAAAAACACCTCGATATCCAGTTTCATAGGGAAACCATCTAAAATATTAATCATCATACTTGCATGATATAAAGAACAAATAAAAATATATTTTGATTGATTAATCATATATTTATATACATTTAAATGCACGTATATATATATATATATATGTATATTCATATTTATAATTAGATGAAACATAAAAAGAAAGAATTTACAATTATTTATCAATAATAATTTTTAAAAAAGTTTTGATTACCTGAAACTTTGACCACCTTGCAAAGTTATACCTAAATTTAATTCTTTGGAAGAACACTCAATCATTTTCTTGCTAATGAATTTTTTAAACATAACAAATAACAATTACAAGGCAATCTTTGTTATATCAATATATTTATTTAAAAAATAACTAATATTTATATTTACATTAATATCATCTAAATGGATGCATGAAGATAGTTGCAGAATTCGACTTTGCTACCACCTAATGGACGTTTTAGTAACTAGCTACAAATTAGTGTTTTCTAACTTAAAAAATAAAAAATCGAATATTTGTTAAAGTTTCTTGCTATTTTGTAAGTAAGCTTTAATATACGATATTGTTTATTTTAAGTTATTTTACTTCGTTGTATATTCAAAAAGTAAAAGAAAAAAATGAATTGTATAATAATTCACAGTAAAATAACGTAAACTAAAAAATACTTTTGGGGCGGACTAAACATAAATACTTTGTTAAATGTATACAAATATAGTTACTAAATTCACAGTAAAGGACATTTAAGTTAAGTGTAAATAAATGTAGGTTATACACTAGTGGACAAAGGTCAGTTTTTGTTAGTGAAAACAAAGATGGCTACTTGAACAGTTCATCAGAATTCTTCAAGCGGAAACGTTTGCTAATGTAAGTGTGTTTTCTACAATTTGTCATTTTTCTTTATCGCATATAAATATTTCATCCAACGGGATTGTTCAAGTATATATATAAGCTTATAAATATGTAATGATATTATGAATAATTTCTAATATGATAAATATTAAAAGAATATAATGTTAACATAGAATACTACGACAAGAAATATGAACGTGCCGCCATTTCGTTTGTCCAATCAGCACGCCGTAAGTCAGACGTTTTCTGGTCACCGCGGGAACAGGATAGTTAGTTGCTGATAAAAATCATTTCTGATGTAGTAAGTATAATAATTATTAATTTATTCTGATAATTAAAACGATTTAACAACGATCTTGATTGTCCTTACGTTATTTTTGTTCTTTATTTTGTTGTTCATTATCATATCTTTGTACACTACAAAAATGTAAATAATATAATTAATTAAAATGCAATTTTTAAAAAAGGTAATTATAGGATAATTAAATGTCGATGATTAGACGTTACTTTATTGGAAGATAGAAGTTACAATTATATCTTATTCAATATTTCTCGTACATATACAGCCTTACAATATATATATATATGCCTACATTTATTTATTAGAATATTATTAGGAATTCCAAAAATTTGTTAATGTTAGAATAATTATAATAATAGTATGTTTTACTTGTTGGTTTTTACAAATCTCATTCATGCATAAATACAATCATACCAAGTATAAATACATTTGCAAATGTATTTTTTAAATTAAACGAGAAAATATTGAAAAGAAAATGTTGAAACTGTATAATTAAATAAATGTAAAATTTGTCAAAGTGAATATAGTTAAAAAATTCAATCGAAGTCGCTTCTTAGCTTTTTCTTTTTTTTTTTTTTTTAAAGAAAACAAAACAAAATTTTGTAGGAAAATATATATGATTTGATGAACAAAAACTCATCTTTTAATTGAATTTTGAATTTATATTGGTAATAGTAATTTTTGAATAAAATAATATTAAATAATAATAATAATAATAATATAATGAGATATGTGTGTGTTATATTACTTTTAATTGGGTATTCTGTCAAGAAGATAAATTTTTGTATAAATCAAATATCATTTGTTCCTATTTTTAAAAATTTAAATATTAGAATATTTTTTTTCACAAATACACCCGCAGACAAACGATTGAACACACACACAGACACGTAAAAAATGAAAGAAAGACAAATTTGTGCGTATTAATTTTTGAATTAAAATAAAAAGACTATATCAGTTATTAATATATACATAAATATTTAAATATTGTATTAGGTTGTTCGATAAGTAATTTCGTAAGTCACTTTTACCAATATTAAATTTAATTTTAAATCTCATAATCATTTTTAACATTCGTCAAATAATTTGTTTGTTTTCTTATTATTCGATATTACTTTTCGAACAATCTAACTAAGATATTTCTAATTGTTGATATTTGATCTATTATATGACATTAGATACGATGACGATGTTACAAATTTCAATTTTATAGATTACAATCTTCGCGATTAGATTTGTTTTATTTTATTTTGTTTCTTTTTTTTTTTTTTTTATTGTCGTTTATAACAATGCGTAATTTATTATACATGCACATATTCATTCAAGTTTGTAAATTATTCAAATCCCCGTTACACCGATGTGTGTGATATA